GCAGTTTTAATATTAGGGGGGTGTTTAATAAACGTGGGAAGCGATTAGGCACATAGATAGATAGATAGACAGATACACAGATAGGTTGACAGATAGACCGATACATAGACGAACACACACGTGCTAGGAAATGGATGAAGAAGAGAGTGTCAGTACTTACTATGCTATACATATATACGTATACACACCTCAAACCCTAAACCCTAAAATCTAAAAGTATCTGCAGATCTGCGAAGTTTGTTGCCTTCATTGTGCTTCATTGGAGTTGAGGGCGAATAGGGGTTGCACCTACCACTGGCTCCTGGTCGCCTGAGGGCGAGCAGGGGTTGCAGCTAACGCTGGTAAACGGTTTAGGGTTCGAGCGTTTAGGGTTCGAGGATTTAGGGTTTGAGGGCTTGAGGATTTAGGGTTTAGGTACGCAGATCAAGCGAGAGCACCAAACTCAAACACATCTGAAACTCCTGTCCTGAGCCACAGGCCTTCATCTGAGTTCCTATGAACCACAAGCCCTGTAGGTGCGAAGTCAATATACCTAACCCCCGAAGACCTACCTTTTGGGGACCTATTTAGGGAGATCATTAACAACAAGCAACCTAAAATGGGGTCGGGTTTCTGGGAGGGCTAAGGTAGACCCCAAAAGCCTTTGGAGGGCCCTTCTCCGATGCCACAGACTTCGCTTCCTGCGAGGTAGGGATCATGCACCCTGTCGCTGCACCACGAAAATCGCTTCCTTCGAGGTGCCACCGGCCCTCGTTGGAAGTGTCGCGTATATAGGGGTGTTGGGTCTCCTGGTTTAGGGTTTGGGGCAGGGTTCGGATGCAAAAGGCTTGGGGATAGATTAGAAGTCTGGCCTTGTAGCCCTAAACCCCCCAAAAAGCCAAGAAACGCCAACCGCCGAGTGGATGCCCCAACCTGCAAGCCTGCTAAAACCTCCGGGCACTGCAGAACCCTCGGTCCTCCAACCCCATAATTATACAGATCATGCTGTCGGCCTGGCAAAGCGCACCCAGACCTGGACCATCATAGACATAGACCAAATGCCGATATCCGAACAAACGACCTACGCAGCTTTCAGTGGCATTATGGTGAGAGGTGCAGAGCACGTTTGCATGCTTATGTCATGGGGCAGCCTGTGAGGGCCGAACGCCCTAAACCGTGCGAGCGTGAGAGTCGAAACATGTAAACCTTGAAACCCGAAAACCTAAACTCCACACCCGGCCCTACATCCTATAAGCCCTAAACTTCAACCCTGACTGCACCTGGACCCCCAAGAGTATGTAGAATGATTGTTTTTTGTTTAAGGTTTGGGGTTATTAATTTTACCTACTTTGGGGGGGGTTTAGGTTAATTAATTCCTAAACTCCAAACACACCTAGCCCCGAGAGGTCTTGAGGACGCAAGCCAGGTCGTAGCCGATATAGGGAAGGCCCAGCTATTGAGGAGTGTTCGCTCGCACACTGCACACAATCCAGCCCATGCCGAGAAGGGTTTAGGGCTTAGGGTGTGAGGGGTTAGGGGGTTGGGGGTTTAGGGTTTAGGGTTTGTGCGACGTTGCTGCACGAGGGGTGACTTCTGTCGTGACACTTCGAAGGTTTTGCGATTTCAGGGTTCAGAGCTTCAGGGATTCAGGGTGCACCTGAGAAGTGTTTGTTCCATATCGCGCTCTTCTGCATCATTCCCTGCATCCTTGAACGCTGCAGCCCATGGAAAACGAGGATCGTTGCCATGAGAGTTACCGAGCCTAAACCCCAGACCCATGTTCAATGCCAGGACGATGAGCGGCAAGCTGCACTCGTGAAGTGGACTTAGCGCGATCCGTACTGTCAGCGGTGTTTCCGATGCTGGCATAAAAGCTTGGAGCTCGAAGCAGGTGTTGTGTAGCATTGTGTCCGTGAGGGTTGTGCAGAGAGTCTGCCCTGCAGTGCAGTGCGACGT